TTGATTAATTTGTAAGGTTTTTATTTTGTTAATTTACAACATTCATTGCAATGTGCTAACATTTTTAGGAAAAAATGTAGAGGTCAAAATCTTCTTTCTTTTTTTACTTTTATGGCGCGGTGGGGTCTCGCAAATAATTTCGATGTGCCCTGTTTGCTTGACCATAACCTGTTAAACCAAGCATTAAAAGTTAATTATGTAACAACAGAATGGTGATGATAATAATAATATAAAAAAAAAACATTATTTCCACAATTTCTTATTTCCACGAATTCTTACCCTGATACTCACTACTTGAATCTATATCCATGACTTTATTAATTTTAGTATATATGAAACGCCCTAGGAACTAGTAAAAGAGTTCGCTGAATGAAGTCCTATGTCATCGCAAAGGCGATGATGATGTCGCGTCTGTTTTGCGAATTGAATGCTGCTTCATTATGGTTTGCAGAATGAACAACTGCCGTACTGTCAAAAATTCGCAGTATTCATACAGATCTTTAGTGGGAAAGCGATACGGTTTAAAAATATTTACTGTTAGTACCTTTATCTAAATCCACTCAATATGGTTTGTTAGTTCAAACACCGCGTCATTTGTGGACTTGTTGTTTCTAAAGCCTTATTGATCATTCGAAAGTATGTTGTTATCTTTCAAGTATTTCTTTAGGTGATTGTTCATAATTGTTGCCAGGACTTTAGACAAGCAAGGCAAAACTGATATTGGCCTACAATTATTTACACCATCTGCATCCCCCGCCTTATGTATAGGATGAATCAGGATTTTTTAAATAGGTCGGAAATACACCTGTTTTTATACACAAATTAAATATAAACGTCAGTTGCCGCACAAAGAATCTCCTGTACTGTTTAATTACATTAGATGAAATACCGTCAACGCCTATCGCACGTAGTGTTTGAATCAAACGGTCAACCTTGTATCAAAAGTAGTGGACTAGCGGATACATTTCTTTTTTGAGTGTGTAACATTTCTGATTACATTCCACATCCTCTTTGGATTAGACCCAGCTTTGTTAAACTCAGACTCCACGTACTGCCTTTTAAGGTTTTTTCAAATACGACTGCAAAATTTTATATACTGTTTTTTTTTTTCATTTTCATGTATATCCTGTCCCTATTACGCATGTACCTCAGTATACCTGGCGTAATCCATGGCTATATAGTCCTCAGGCAATGTGGTACACTGTAGGTTGTGGTACTGAAATGGATAGCTCTAGTGAGTGATTTATTAAAATATTCGAGTGTAAAATTAGCATCCTTACACTCATATATGTAGGAAAAATCAGTAGTATTTAGTGGATTCTCGAGTTTAATGTAATCTTTTTTATTATTTATCTTATTGGCACTATTCATTTTAATTTTATTTAATGTTAAAAAAACAGCGTTGTGATCCGTAACGTTTAAGTCTAACGACGGTTGAGGCTCTGAATTTAAGGTGGATATGATAGAGTGAAGTTTATCCATTTGTAACCAGATTAATGGCTGGTAAACCCATGAACAGCATTAAGATTGATAATACCTCATGAGCAACATTAAGATTTATGATGTGATAAGAGATTAAGTCCTAAACTTTGTTCTGTAGACTACCTGGTCTTGTGCTTTTCTACACTTACTCGAATTAAAAAATGCATACACCCTAGATCTCATGTATAGTTAATGAATTTTAATTGAATTTCCAAGCCCATATAAATTAAAAGTTATATTATTATTATAAGCTCTTATTTATGATTTCCGTATTCCCGAAATTACTAAAAAAAGTTATAAGTATGAGATTTAATTTTTGTTTTTTAAGAAATGTGTCATTTAAATCTTTCGTCCATACAAAGCAAAGAAAAGGATGCCAAGTAGCCAAACCCTTGAGCGAGCGAGAGTGAAGTAGGTGAATTATAGCCCACACAAGGTTGTCTACAACGTGGAGAGCAAACTAGATACTTAAAGAGACAAGTACCGATACTGAACAGTGCCGAACTAAGCATACATTCATTAGATTCCTCTTTTAAAATAAAGTCATTTTGTTCTTCAACCATCACCAAATTGAACAAGCTTTAAATTGCCCCGAACGTGTAAATTGTATGTACAACTTTTTAACAAGGATCGACGAGTTCGAAGCCACAGGACGCAACCGTTTAGGGACTGCTCATCCCCGCGATTACGAAAACCTGGTATCCGTTCCTTCCTTACCTTAAATTGGTTATTTATTTAAATTTAATAAGGGATAATAAAGGGCTTTATAAAATTTTTGATTTCGTAAAAATGGGCCATATTTGTGTCGAACCTCGTGCTATTTTGGTCTATTAAGTGAATTACTTTTAAATTGTCTTTATGAAGTCGGGTTTTTCTTTTTTTTTTCAATTATTACTTGTGTCTATCTCATAACCACCGACACTGTTCAGGAAATGCGTAAGTTCATTTCTGGTGAGTGGTGAGTGGTACAAACATGAAATTTGACTGGACGAATTGCGTAGTGGTTTAAGCGGTCGCCAGGACACTTACTATTACGCTGAGTGTTATGGGACCGATCCCCACATGGGACGACACTTTGTGTGATCTACAAAATGTCGTTCTGAGTCTGGGTGTTTTTTATGTCCGTTTCATGTATGTTTGTAAAGTCTCCCGCGACAAAGGTTATATTTCTAATACGGGAGCGGTCTTTTTAAGAAAAAAAAACAAAAATGTACGTTCAGCGCCCTTGACTCGTTATCCATGTGGTGACCGATTAAGAATACAGAGTGTCATCACCCAGTGGGAGTCGTAAGAGCCGACTAAGGGAGCAAAATGTGCAAAACAACAGTACCAACTTGTAACAGTTATTTTTTTTTGTATATTTGTAATGCGTACGGACTTGTTAATAGCGACACCTATTTGCCCTAGTCGCATTTTGTTTGATTTATCCAAAGTAGTTTGTAGCTACAGTGTTGATGTTCTTCGTTCGACGTCGGACCACTAGATGGCGTTTGTTTGTAGATAGGTCATTTTATTAATTTATCATGACAAATTGTATAGGTATTAAGAGTGTTTTGTTATGGTAGGAAGCGAGTTACTTTTGAGTTTTTATTCGTGTTAACCTCGTTGATAATTTAAATGTCAAAGTAAAATGTTAAGTAGGGATTATTTCTGGAAACTTCGGAAACCGAGCCTATAAAAGTCCGGCTTTCAGCCACGGGAGACACTCTGATATCTCGTTTCTCCAATCTTAAATAGTGTTTTGATTATCTTGTGATTTTATTTTCATAATATATTATCTGTTAAAAGTACCCACGAAAGTGGTGAGTATATTATTAATTTTTCTTGTACCTATTTGTTTCTAGAACCTGATCGATAATATGAGTGCTAATCCATTCGTAGAGTCCCAGATTTCGGGGTCAAGACGGTCAGTCTCAGACGGCGTGCTTGTTCGTTTGTGGCCTTCTGGTTCGGATTCAAGTTTCTCGGTACCCTCTGGCAGTCACGCGTCTCACGAAGCAAGCGGACAGCCGTACCCAAGGGTTACGTACCTCTATTTAACTTTATAAATACCAATTGTGAACTTTTCTCAATACCTAACATAAATAGCCGACTCGGGCGGAAGGGGAAGTGACCTCCTGGAGTGAAGACGAGGAGGCTCCGAGCACCATCAGCTCGGCTCTGACGCGCTCCGCTGCGGTTTTTTTTTCTTGTACCCACTGATTAATTTATTTAATTTTTTTGATTGTAACTTTAATTTTGTTTTTGAAATATACATGTATGTATGACTGAGGTGTAAGTTGTTTTCCTCTAAGGAATCCCGTAGGTTTCCCACACGCACACACTTCTTTTCTCTTAGAAGGCGCCCTGAGGTAATCTCATAAATCTCTCCACTGGGTCAGCCGGTGAGTAGTCCGCCTGAGAAGAATAGCGGTTATAAACTAAGTATACCAACTTCTTGCCAGCGTGGTATAGTAGGCCAAAACCTCCAATGTAAGGAGCAACCTATGTCCAGCAGTGAACTGTTGAGGCAACCCTCAACTTGATGATGATGATGAACTCGTTAAAAAATTTAACAATTTGTGTTGGTTCATTGGAGCAAGTAACTGAAAAAAAAAGTAATAACCAGCTTTAATTGATATTCTGCAAAAAATCATAATAAATCAGGAATCTGCATTAACGTTACTTACTTTTAAAATACAAAGGCGAGTTCAAACATTCGATGCAGCAGAAGATAAATAATACATTTTACAAATTTTCTAATCCGTTTTACGTAACTAACTGACTGAGCAGATGTCTATGCTAAAGTTATTGATAAAATTGGAATAATAGAATCAGGTATTAATGCAATTACTAGTAATACAATCGTAGGTATTATTGTGATAAGATTTAACGAAAATATTGTGTATAAAACGTTGATCACGGATATCAAGAGAAAAAATACGGCCATTAGGGTCAAATTTCTTAATTACACACTCGCTCATAACCATCTCGCATATAACCGGGCGCGATAACATAGAGATTTAAATGATATACTAACTATAGCTAAGATAAGATAACTTAGCGAATGTGCAAGTTCGTTTACGATAGCAGTACAAGTGCATCGCAACTGTTTCACGATAGCGTCGCAACTGTATCGCGATTATTCAGCAGTTGCATCGCGTATTACGATCAATTTTGAAGCATCGCTGTTTACTTATTCAAACTAAACTATTTGATTACTTTAATTATAAATCAATGCGTTTATTTATATAACAATCGCGAACAAAACACAGGTGAATCAAAATATTAATAACAATAAATACCACAAAAGTGTCAATAACACAACATTAATCAAGAATTTGTAAACAGAATTGTGATTGTATCGTATACAACATTGTCACTTTATATTTATTGAGGATTTCTTGCATATACATCAGATAGTGCATAAAGTACAGATTTACCGAGAGTATAACTGTAAATAAATATTTAAATAGTAATTAATTTATTTGCAAGCGATACGCCAAGTATGCGTGAATATGCTATAGGCACAAATCCAAATGGATAGTTTAGTAATAATTCTTATTATGTCAGCTTTCGTATTAAAAACATTTGGTGATTACCTAACAAACGTTGAAGAAGATCTAGCTGATATCGATGACGAAAATGATGACTATGATGAAGGACTCGAAGTCAAGGATGGGCAACCTAATACAACTGAAAAACTGGAGAAAGCACTAAAATTGTTTGAGGAAACCATGGATGTTTTTAAAAAGAAGTATGAAATCAAGGAAGATAATCTAACGTTTTATAAGGCTTAATATTTATGCCCAGTGGGCTCAATAATTAAAGGACAAATTTAAATTAAACTACTGACATGTATCAATCGTGTAAATTAATTGTATTGAGTAGTCACTCAAACTTTATCTTTGTTTTTTTTTGTTTATGGGTGTGTTATTGATTTCATGTTTATTCGATTAAATATATGTTAAATCCAGAATGTGATATTTTTACGTTCCTTTTTTGGTCCACTTAATTAATTTTCACTTTCTCATTAGTTATACCTATGCTAGACATCGTGTAATTTCTTCCGACACACTATTTTAGGCAACAAAATACCGACAACAATGCATGCTCGTAACGTATTATGCTCATGGGTGTAATATTTTTTACACTTCCATATTGATTGATGAATTTACCTGTGACTGGCTGTGAAAACTTTGGAGCCCTGAAGTGAAAAATTTATTATATATATATTTATTTATATAGAAATCTGTATATATATATATATATATATATAATAGATTTCAACAAAACATTTGTAATTTTGAGAAAAATGAATCGAATAATCGCTTTCAAAAGGGGTAAACCACATGTTCTGTTTCAGACACTTTTTTTTCTTTTGCCTTCCTAACAACCCTTCGCATTCTGTTACTTTTAAAACATACACATAAATGAGTTAAAACTTTACATTCAACTAAATATAAATAATTATATTGAAAAAAAAAATCTATTTTACGTAGCTAAGTAACTAATCACTGTTCTTCCTCTATTAAAAAATAATGTATTGTATGAAACGGCATTTAACCATAAAACCGACCTTTATCGTCAGTCCAATTTTGCAAATGATGAATTTTGCAGTAAATCTGACTCGTCGTAGTGAACAGCGTATCACGATAATCTCAAATCGCTCTAAAGTGTTTCTTAGACACAATAAAACCTGATATAACTCTAATAAATACTCTTACCTGTAGAGCTAGTCTCTAAAAATATCATCCCGGCCTTTATTACCAATTCAAGGAGGTTGAAGTATTGGTAATACAATAACACGTAGATCATAAAAGTAAAGACATTTATGTACTTATCATCAAGAGGTTACGGGTTTCGACACCACTCGATGTACAACTGTGGAAACACAATTCTAACAAAAATATTAAATATAGAGCTATTCTCGTTTTAACTTGTATTTCAGCAAGAAATAGGTACCCTTTTTGTATTACTCCACCTGATAGACCACACAAAGTAGTACTACCTGAAAAGTGTTGTTTAATCTGAAGTCAACAGGATTGACATTTAACCCAATTTTATGTAATATTATCAATTATTAAACACATATGAAATTGATGAATTTAGATTTAAATTGTAGAAGGATAAGATCTCAAGTCACATAAAAGACGTTAACAAATAGTAAAAACCCAAAAAACTTGCTTACTTAAAAAAAAGGGGGAGGTGTGAGAAGAAAATTACTGTAACAATTCCATAATGATTACGCATAGTTAAGAGTAGATAATATTTTGCTGTAAGATATTTTACAAATTTAGTAGTAGTTTTAAATGAATTCTCAGTTAAATCGGTGGAGTAGGAAGTCAAAAACGTGATCCACTCTTTAACAAAGCTATTTAACTATATGCTCCCTGTAACAGCTTCAAGGTACTACTTTTGTCAGTGATTCGCGGCACGAAACAAAAACGGGGGAAACAAACAAGCAAAACAAGCAGAAACAAGCAAATGATGAATATTTTGACTGGCCTGTTGGTCGAGTGGTTAGTGATCCTGACTGCTACGCCAGGGTCGTAGGTTCGATTCCCACCCAGAACAAATAATTGTGTGATGAGCACTGACATTTGTTCTGTACCTGGGTGTCATTTGTCTATATTATGTGTGTATTTAGAAATATATAAGTATGTTTATCAGAAGTCTTGTTACCATAGTACAGGCTCTGCCTAGTTTGTGTGATATGTGTGAAAATATTATTACATGTACTTTCGTTTCTTGTATTCGCAATATGTATTTTTGATACACCTATTTTTTTTTAAACAATCTAATTTTATTTTAAATCTTTGAAAGTGCTAATTTTATCAACGAATACTTTGGAGTAAACGAAGAATAGGAAAACTTGCTAGTAAGATTAAAATACAAAAACATAATTTTAAGCACGAAATTACTTACTTAAAACTATTATTAACCCAACTTTTATATCTAAATTAAAATAATAAAATTTTGGTACGCTAAGTGTTCAAGTTAGCAATTTTGAGTTAAGGAAAGAATATATATAAAGAATACAAATTAAGACATGTAAAAGGGCAAGGAGCTATGGTCCGAGACACTGCCAGTCTATGATTCGGAAACGGAAATGATGCTTCACTAGTTCGAAGAGGTCGGGGTTTCGTCACGGTATATCCGTCCTGTGCTTAGAGGCCAGTTGGATAAGGACATTGTCTGACCATACTATTAGTGGTAGTAGTGTATATATATAGACAATCAGTATATTATAATCATAAATCCTAAAACATTAGTTTTCAAAGACAACTTCCACATTAGGAATGTCGCGGAGGACTTAACAAACATTTATGAAACGGACACAAATAACACCCAGACTCAGAATAACAATTTGTGTCAATCTAAGTGTTGTCCCAGTAGGGACCTAACCCACAATACTCATCGCAGTAGGAAGTGGCGAGGTGACCGTTTAAACCACTACGCCATCCGTGCGGTATCTTATACATAAAATTCTCGTGTCACAATGTTCGTTCCCGTACTCCTCCGAAACGGCTTGACCGATTCTCATAAAATTTTGTGTGCACATCGGGTAGGTCTGAGAATCGGCCAACATCTATTTTTCATACCCCTAAATGGTAAGGGTGACCCATCCCTAATTTTTTTTTGTTTTGCAATACAACGTTTGCCGGGTCAGCTAGTATTTTATATAAGGTGTATTTTTAACCGATTGCGTCAGAAAACATAACCCTCCTTGGGTTATGTTTTTCTGGTGTATGTGTATACTTCTATTTTTTTGGTATGCCTTAATGGATTTTGGCGTTTAAGGTGTCATTAGATTCATCTTAATTGTGCGAGTAATTTGATTTTTTTTTAAATTAAAATCACGTGTTTGTAAATTTTAAGCATACATTAAGACGCAATTACCTTATTTTTTCTAATCGGTAATAGCTAAAGATATCTACTACTCGTAAACCTTTCAACTTAATAAATTCAACGTGCATTCAGAACTTGAATATCCAGTATCTGACAGACAGATCTCTTTACACGAAATGTGTTCGTAATCCATCATCTAATCTCGTAAATGCATAGCACTGCCAATTTACATAGATTCAAGTCCATGATGCCACGTGCAAATGTCACTTCAAACGATAAGAATATATTTACATATTAATTAATATTACTAGAGATATTTACAAGTTAACATATTAATGCAAAGAAAATCGCATCCTGTTCATTTATTTATTACAATTTTATGCACATGATTGGTTGTACGGAAACTTAAAACCAGTAACATTTTCTGCTGGGCAACTTTAGAAAGGTAGGTATTAAAAAAATATAATATACAGTAGCGCATCGGAGTCTGGTTTAGTTTTATATTTTTTTCTAACATGTCTAATGAAACATAGGTGTATACACCTGATACATACAATACACCTGTTTAATAACTTAATTTTATCACCCTTTTTTGGGTACTTTTATGTTGTATAAATACATTGAAGTTGACAAAATTAGAGGAGATTAGGCGAGTAGTAGTCTTAAATTCATAAGGTAATAGGAAAGCATGGACTCGAGAATTCGTAATTGCAAAAGCAATTACTTAAATTATTTAGCGTCCTTGTGTTATGGTTTTTTTATACAGTAAAGACAGTATTATTTAGTAGAAGTTGTGTTAAAAGCATATCACGTGCGTGTTGAGGGCCAATAAAGTCTTAATTCATTTAACACTTTTGTCATGATTGATGGGTAAACTTTAACATTGATTGTATTAGTGAGATTTGAAAGGATAGGATAACTATTTTTACATTTTATAATTGTACTAGTTTTTGGTTTGGAACATGCTCCACAGATAAATTTAAAAAAAAAAACACTGCTTATACATTATTGACAGGAAGAAAATCTAACTTTCACACGGTTCAAAAATCATTGTTCCTGCGGGATACAACATTGGCTTGCAAGATCTACATTAGGGCTAGTAAAGACGTATCACAAGTAAGTTTTAAATAATCTAGTACTAGATTCGATGGAATCTTGCTTAAGATATGAGCTATTACGTAGGTGTGATATAGCAGGCTCTGTTCAGATTATTGTTTTATAATATATTTTTGCTTTGAATGATGCGAATTGTACTTACGCCTCTATTTCTGAACATCCTGCATCTGTGCCTATATCACATATTTCGTATAAGCGTATATGTATAGGTAGGTATAGACAATAGCTCAAGCTAATCAGAGTGGTATGTATACTTGTAACTCGAGCTCCTACTAGCAATCCTGAGCAATCCAACGAAACAAATATTTCGATCAATCTAACAGCAGTTAGTCTCTTACACAGAGTAAAATAATACAGGAGTTACAACACCTTTTATCTTTATTACTTACAGATCCAAAAGGTTAATGATCAATCAACATATACTGTATTAATCCGAGTCCCGAAAAAAGTAATTGTAACTACGAATAATTGTTCACCCGGTACGGATTCAAGTTTTTTGTTACAGTTTGATGTGATATTGACTCGATTCAATGATTATACTGATAAACTGAAGTAGTTTTTAATTCTTGATCAATTCAGTTGTTCTCAATAGATAATAGGTATTTTATATACTATTAAAATACAACTGTATAGCATATAGTACCATAATACCTTGAAACGAATCACTTAGATACCTCATGTACAATATATTAGCACCGATTGTTGACCTAAAATACATTTTAATGATTTCCTTGTTGACGAAGGTCAATAAAACGTATTACTCCTGCAATAATAAATAATGTTGATTACGCCACTTCTTAATTCATGGCATTATATTACATATTGAACCGACTAATGTAAATTACCGAGGTGATCTACAAAACATATATACAGTCGGAGAGCCATGCTTTAGAAAATAAAGTCTGGCTCGACCAGAGTGAGACCACGGCCTCCGGTGATGAGAAAATACCGATGTTAAGCAATTCATTATTTGCTTCACCGAGTGAGTAAGATTACCAGAGGCCCGTAACACTAATTCCGGGAGAAGGGAATGCAAAACAGTGGTATCCTGTGACGCCGTGGCATCACTCCGGTCGCACCTGCAAATACGTGACGAAGCATGGTTCTCCCACGATAAGGTTTGGTTGTGTGTTTATGTTTTCTTGGCAATAAATAAATTCATAATAACGATCTCTATAGATATTATACATGTTTTTCTACTAATTATTTATTCATAACATGACCAACAACAACATCACAAAGACGGAAATGTTATGCAAATCAAGTATTCGTAATCATAATGAATACAAAAGTTAACAACATTAATTGTTTACTATAAAAAAAAATCATTTCTATCTGACAGTGCATAGGCAGCAGACTCTAGACAGGAAGCAAGCATATCTTTTTAATAATAGTACAAACGTGTTATTTTTGAAAACAAAAAAAACATATACGAGCTTCATACATATTATTTGTAGTTATATATGTATTAAAAGACGTTTTTAAGGCCAGATATTTTTAGACAACATTAAACAGATCCACTTAAGACTTAATACATGTGTAAATTATAACTTTTTATTGAAAATGAAACATTTTGTTGTAACAGTTATTTCATTTTCTTTGATGCAATTAGCAAGTGGATATCTATTGCCTTCAGATTTACACAAAGATCCAGGGGCATATGATTACGAAGACTTTGTTAATATTAATGATGCTTCAAACGTAGAAGAAGACACACGTAAACAGATGTATAAACTGGAAGAAGCACCTAAATTATTTAAAAAATTTATCAACGACTATGGAAAGAAGTATAAAGATAATAAAGACAGGGCAAAACATTACAAAATTTTTTTACAGACATTAAAACATCTCAACAAGATAGATAGAGAAATGGAATTTAGTACCGCGCTTCAAATAAACATATTTGCAGATCTAACACCAGATGAACGGTATCTTTATCTCGGTTGGCTTTAAACATAGGTATGTACATAGTTCGATTTTTATTTTAAAAATTGTGTACCGTATGTAAAACGTCATTTGTAAAAAAATACGTCAAGTATTAAGCTTGTACATTTGTAATATGTAAGTGAATGTTTATTTGGTGGTATTAAAGTAGTGGAATCGTTTTCTCTATTTAATTAATCATATCTACAATTTCATTTCTATTTTTAATGATGCTTGAAACTCTCAAGATACTCTCTTGTGTTAGCTCCCGGTTATATATCTCTGACTATAAAATTGTGCCAGTAACTAACTAACCGTAACAGAGCCTGTAACCACGGCCAGTACAACCTTTTTTTTTTTTTTTTCCGTGCGGAAACCCCCTCGGATACCACCGCGTCGGCATGTCGGACTCGAACCGACTAAAACCGCACGCCGTCTCGGGTACTAATAGCCGGGGAACCAGGTATACCCTAGAAAGGAAGTCCCTGGTGCACGGCCAGTACAACCTGTACGAAATGTCCAAAGTATGTTAAGGTACTTATTAAATGCTTGAATTCCCGAAATCATAATATATATTCGATCTCGAAAGTTGAAACATCTGATACTACAATACATATATAGTACAATACTCAATGATATATATTGATGTAAATACTGACGTAGAACAACGATGTCTTATGTTCATTACATTGCTACTGTTAGGTACAAGATAAAAGAAAAGGTGCTCTTACTCAATGAATTAACAGAATCACCACGTATTTAGTACATCATTTAACATTATTGAATTAAATAATAGGCTAATACGTACGTATCATATAGTTCTTTAGACATGTGAAGTCTATAATGATGATATCTATATATGTTTACATAAATGTATTTGTAGTTACTACGTAGTTTTGTATATTGCAAAATTCAATTTTAGTTGAATTTCATTTAATCTACCATTTTTGCATGGTTTATTTTTATCTTGGTGTAGACAAGAAGAAGGCATATTTATTTATTCTCCTCTAGATCCGCTAAAGCTTTTTTTGATAATACACTAGTACCAAAATAATTACATAAACTAAGAAATAATACCTATTTTTTTGTCTTTTTATTAATTAATGGAGAAAAGTAATTAAAACATACAATAATAGGTGATTTTAAAGTTGATTTTTAATAAATAATATATAGAATTTAAAAACACACTTTTTTTTCGCAACACAATGCCCACATTAATGCGAACCATACTATCATAAACTAGAGTAATTGTTATATCTCTTCCACTCTACTTTAATTATGTACAGCGTGGATATAGTTTCCATACCGCTGTGCTCAATGGCCTTTGTGCATAAATAATTTACCCATCAAAAATAAATTCCTAAACCATAGCTATTAAACGCTATTTCGATACGGTTATTTTTTTCTGTGATCCAACCATTGCGAGCCTGACACTAAATTTAATTTACTAACTTTCATTTGTAAATTAAATTAAGTGTCAGGTGCAAGTTGGAATTAAGCTCGATATTAACTTAGAGAACCTGAACTTAGATATGTGGACATCTTACAAGCAATGATACTCTTTATGCGTATATTTATACCTATCATTAGGTATTATAAGATGTGTCTACAACTGAACATAATTAATAAAAGTCATCAGAGTTAATTTCATAATTCAATTCATAGTTACAAAACAAGTTCATTGATTCTGCCGAAATGTCAATGCCATGGACAAAAAATAAATGACGAAGGTACTCAAAGTTACTCCTTTTAATTCCCCAAACGGACTTTCAACGACGAAGATAATAAATTATGATGAATTATGAAATAAAGCGTTTTAACATTAAATTCCGATTAAAGGTTATCACATGGGTAACATTTTGTTCTTTTAAGCGGATAAATAGGTACGTAGGTACTAATCATATTCTGTTTAACTCCTACATCTAAGCGGATACATAAGTTAATAGTCAACCTCTTCCATTGCAATGTCGACCCAGTATCTATTGTCGTATAAAATTGAATCGTATAAAAAAAACTGGGAACTGCGAAACTGGGAACATGGATACTTATTCATAATCAGTTATGAATAAATATCCCAGTTCCCAGTCTCGCAGCCATGCCGGCAATTATTTAACTACCACGATGATAAAGAACAACTTGTTCATCAAGTTTCGAATTATATAAAATAAAGATTACTAACAAGTTTTATAAACAACAAACATAGCGAATACCAATAAAATAAATTATTCATTGCATTTCGGGTTACCTACATGTATATTTTAAATGCGTCTAGTGTACTTTCAGCTAAAATCATAGCAGAATGCATTTAAAATTAGCACGCCTAAAAAGCAATATAATTTTGCCTCCAGATCCCTTAAAACAGCCATTGCTAGGGTGAAATCAGAGCACATCAGCCACAATATGACTTCCATCTGGAACTTCTGGTCTTTAGCCCAGTTGTCCAGAGGAATTTCTGTAGCCAATCACTTCCACCCCTGCAGATGGGTGATAATTCGTTGGCTTATGATGCCAAGGACAAAGCCCATCTCCAAGGCGAACTCTTTACATCCGACTCGACTTTGGATGACGACGGAAACGTACCGCCGGACATAACGCGGTACCATAGCTGTATGCCGGCAATCCAGTTTACCCAGAATTTAGTGCGTAAACCACCTCTATAGTCATAGGTCGAGTGGGCCCGATCGTATCTCCCCTATCGTGTTAAAGAAGTGTGCTCCAAAGTTGACTCTCTTACTCCTTTGGTGTCGTCCCGAACTCCTGGAAGGTAGCGTTTGTGTACCCGATCCCCAAGAGCCGCTGTGACCGCTCTGATCGGTGCAACTACAGGCCTATAGTCATAAACCCCTTCTTCTCTAAGATTATGGAATCCGTAATCGACTGCAAGCTCTTCCAGTACTTAGAAAATCACCAGCTACTGAATGACCGACAATATTTTTTTCGCCTGGGTAGCTCAACTGGTGATCTTCTCGTTTATCTAACACACCGGTGGGCACAGGCGATCAAGACCAAGGGAGAAGCTTGTGTGGTAAGTTTGAACATAACGAAGGCCTTCGATCGAGGGGGAGGAGGGAGAAATTATGTGACTGGGTCACCAAAAAGAAGCATTAAGGTCGTTATCGACGGTGCATTTTGCATCAATGCATCAATGATATGTTGCAACGGGAGATGCTTTTTCTACCTGCCGCCTCAATATTTCTCATGAAAACGTCACCGAAAGTCGAACCAAACTAGTATCTAAAATTGAAACTTCCTTGTGTGGAAAATGGTGTTTTCAGATTCCTAGCTCGATCTCTTGGCGTAACCTAGAGGTGTAGCTTCACTCTGCATTCTCTATCGTATATATCATGTGGGATACTCCGAGGAATTAATCGGGCTAATAACGGCCGCAACTTTAAGCTATCGTTCCACAAGGCAAAGGTTCTATCTCTACCACTTGGATAATTGGCACTCCACCACTGTGCGCTTTTCAAGACACTTTTTGCCTCTCACAACCAATCTGTGCAACAAGTTATCTTCTGCAGTATTTACGTTTATACACGTTTTACGATAAAAATTAAACTAAATTTGGAATAAATAAGTACAAAAAAATCAATATTTGGCAGAAACTAGAAATGTGTTTATTGGCTTTTACAAATATGGCTATTTCTAATATACATATAAGGATGGAAAGGTTAGTATTTTAAAGGACTTAAACATTGGTTTACAGCTGTCTGTGGTCTTTAAATTTCACATCGCTCTGATACAGCGTTTTTGTGCTTAGAATAGATGCTCTCTTGAACTACAATTGCCTCAGAACATAATCCCAAATCTTAGAACACACATTTAGTTATCCTAGATGCTAGATCCTTTCTTTGTGCTTGAGATATACGACATCTTTCATCCACATTTTCACCCTATGAATAAGAACGTATGTGTGCTACAAAGAGGTGTCTACAAAGCACCCAAATTTGAGTAGGCGATAATCATATAAAAAAACTTGCAAATAACGAGAGAGCCTTCTAATAATATTTTTTTTAGATAAATGAATGTAGTAATAAAATATCAGTATCAAGTTAAAAATTAAAATTGCGATTCCTTATAATAGACCCCACTAGTTTGTTAAACACGTTGCAAACTACTTAGTTTATGTATGTATAGTTTATATATGCGCCCATCATAACTAGAAACAAGTTTTCGAGGTCAAACATTATACTCAAACTCTAAACAAAAACGGCCATAAGTTGTCTGAATATCGATAGATCATATCGTCTGCTGTTTTATTAAAATGAAGTATTTTATTACGTTTGTTATTATTTTGACTATAACACAATTTATCTATGGCGACGTAAATATGGAAGAAGAAGATGACGTTGCCCTTGATTTAATTGAAGATGACGCTGATCCTAACGTAGGATTTGATTCAGATGATGAACAACCTAAACCGATATACAAACTGGAAGACGCGCCAAAATTGTTTAAACAATTTATTAAAGACTATGATAAGAAATATAAAAACGAAGAAGATAAGTCGGAGCATTACAAAACATTTGTAAATACCTTAAAGGAAATAAATATGATCAATAGTAACAAAGAATATAGTTCAACAGTAGACATAAACTTATTTGCGGATTTATCGACAGAGGAACGTCAACAATACTCTGGAGTTGCCGCCTTACTAGGTAGGTTTAGTATTTATTTTTATTGACTAATTTTATTGTTAGGTTTAATATTATCATGTTGGCAACGCACTTGAGACACCTAAGTTGTGGGTGTATATGGTCATTGTTGGTCGCTTTCTATCAGGTGACCCTCTAATTATTTTTTGTTTGAGCTCGTTTGTCACAAAAAAATAATTATTACCACGATGTTGTCAATAATATTATCAGTGAAAATCGCGCTAATTTAGAATTTAAGCAAATGGATAAAATCCTATAACAAGATCAACTTGCCTAGATCAAGTATCGGGTATTGAACTAAAACCAAACTACGTTTACTAAAGTTTTTTTTAAACCACTTACCGCTATGAGTAGGTTCTGAATATTAACAAACAACTGACGATGTTCCTCTTTAACATTAATATATCTTCCATGTGTATAATACTCTAATACTCGTATCTAGTAAAAATATTTCATACTAGATTATATCCAAATAACAACATTTCTTTCTCTCTTTTTTAACATTTGTTTTAAAGTTAGATTTAATCTTCACATAGCCTAAATATTAGGCTCCCTACTCCCTAAACACAGCCTTATTTTTCGATAGTCTTACGATGATACCTAATGCACTACGATATTTATTAATAATTTATTAAATTAAATTTCCAAATATATAACTCATGAAGTTACATAACAAGTACTATTTGAAAAAAAAACATATTTAGTAAGCGATGCATTTTTTTGGCGTTTAATTAATATTAATATAAGACATCAATTAACATACCTATATTTTGCTGGAGTAATACCAAGCTTACTTTCCTGACTAAAATATGATTAACTGTCACTCCTGACAGCTTTTCATTTAGAATTCTATATAATTTTACACAAATCTACACAATTAAAAGCTAGCACTTATGAACTATTGGATTATTTTTATATTTGAAATTTAATGTTAAGATTTAAGCATTAATTTACCGACATTGTCAAACGAAGACAACAATATACTAAAGGATGTTGATGTGACTTGCAAATTTTTGAATTGGTTCTGTATTCGTATCGCGAATAATGATTTTAGATCGAATTCACATAAAAACGAGTTCCAATCTAAAATAAAATAACATTGAATCAGTTTCAGAAGGTAACTAAATGAAAATCTTTTAAAGTAAAAAAAAAAGTAATTCTAAGTTATAAAACAATAAGTAATTATTATTATTATAATATTGACATATCTCTGTTCACTTCCAAGTTACTTAACTGTAAAGCTTAATATTTATATACTAAGAATTTATTAATAGATAAATGAATGATCATCCCTGAAAAAGAGCGTCAAGAAAGTGAAATTATTTTGAATAGAAACCTAAGAGTAGTTAATATTGATCCGCTAGTTCTGTGTCCAATCAGTCAACAGCGAAATACTTTTTTAATTTGCATAAAAATTTGTAACAAAAAGTTGCAATGATAAAAACTTAAAATATTATAATATAAATGGCTTCTATGTCTAGATAAGATTTTAATTGGTCTGTTTTTGCATTTGTATGTTTGTTTGTATATATTTCCGTGTGATGACGGATTATGAATGCGGAGTGTCACCACTTCATCTACCCGTGGGTGTCGTAAGACCCGAGTAAGGGAGCAAACTACGCAAAGCGTCAGCACTGCAAGGAGAATCAAAACTTGACACAAACCCTGTACCAACCCGTCTGGCCAGCGTGGCTTAGTAGGCTAAAACCTCCTTTTCTAACGAGAGGCCTTTGTCCAGCAGCGGACTGTTAAAGGCTGTTGATTATTATTGTATTATGAATTTACTTAATTAGTTATGTTACCATAACAATGGTAAAAAGAAAACAGATTTTCAAAGAACTCCTATAGTTTCGACACAATTGGCAAATAAATTCTTGTTAAATACCAAATCCCTAGACAAATATTACTTTTATAATGGGTAGTAATGAACTACGGTACCCTACAGTGTAGGGTTTTGTAGTCCGTAGTGTAGGGCCTACACTATAAACCACCGGTTTTTATTGTTAAGCATAACGTGTATTGCGTGCGCAGCCCGGCCACAGTCGTTTTCGTAATTTATAGACATATCAATTAAATGTTCTTTTACTGTTCTTGCTGTACCAATCCATAGAAGAAATGTTCCGCAAATATATCTTGTTAAAAAAGCAATTGTTTATGGCCGGGCAGTGCCGTATACGTTGCATCCCGGATACAGATAGGATGCTCAGAATGTTCTAAAATATAAACTAAAAAAATGTTCCTTTTGGTGTGCCTTATTTTTTTTTCATTAAAATTTACCAAGAGACGCTTACACTAACAAAAATGATTACAAATAAGAATTGTCATTAAGCGCCTAAACTACTAAAATAGCAATGTAAGTATGTAAACAATTAAACAACGAGGAAGCGGCCAAGGCGCTTAGTGCAAATTCTTATTTGAAATCATTTTCTGTTCATGTGAGCGTTTCTCTAAGTATTTTTCATTGAAAAAAAAGAACTCAAAAGGATTATTTTTTTAGGTTATATTTTAGAAAATTCGGTGTAACCTGCCTAATGCTGCAAAGTGTATGGTACGGTGCTTATCAGTCACAAAAAATTGCTTTTATGAACAAGAAATATTTGCAAGAACAATAAGATAACATTTAATTGATACGTCTATAAATTACGAAATCAACTGAGGCCGGGCTGCGCCGCAACACACAAGTAAAACATGTTGTTGAATCATTGTTACAAGACACCGTAGATTTTGTTTACGTAGAAAAAACAACCTCTCACATAAAATTAGAAACGGACAAGTTTAGGTACGTCGCTTAAATTACATACACATCAATACATACATACACATAGGTACATGCTAAATACATACTTAAGTCTTTCCATGTGTCAAATGTTTTATCGCTTTGTAAGGATAGTCATTATATGCACACGCGTTATTCAGTACACAGGTCTGGCATTTTCATTGGCTTGAAATTGTACCTGACTTTTCATATAACCGAACATTTTACAATAACTTATAATATAATTGACCTAAGACCGTATATATGTGTTTAAATAGATATAAATTTATTTTACCTGGATATAGAGACCAATATCCTGAATGCGACTGCGCGGACGGCGTAGTTGTTTAAGCGGTCGCCACGCCGCTACCTACTGCGCGAGTGTTGTGAGTTCGATGCCCACACGGGACAGCACTTTGTGAGATCCATAAATTGTTGTTCTGAGTCTGGGTGTTCTTTGTATGTTTGTAAAGTCCCCAGCAGCACCGGATATGTATTCCTAATACGGTAGTTGTCTTTTAAAAAAGATAAGAAAAAAATTGCATTATTAGTTTTACTTGACATTTTAACTCAATCCCTGAGCCTCTTAATATAGGTTTCGTACAGTACTATCCATACAATCCATATGTATCCACGATTGTATGTCTGATGATTAAAGCATTCAAGTACCAATAATTACTAGCTAGCGGACCCGCGCAACGTCGTCTGCGTCCTCTCAAAAGGAATAAATTTTCCCTTTCTTCGCAACATTATTCATTGGTACATTGGTCGTAGCATGATTTTGTATAGCCTATATCCTTTCTCGATAAAAGAACTATGCAACACTTAAAGAACTTTAATTCGCTGCAGTCATTCGGAAGTTATTTTTTATTTATGCAACTAGACATTTTTGTATTAATACAGAGAGACTTACTCGTATGCTTTAGGTATCATCATAAAAGAACTTATTGCTATACCGAGGTTGTCTGGTAGATTTCGCTCTTATAACAACGCCCATGGTAGGTACGTACTCATATTTATTAAATTAATTACTGGAGAACTTGTAAAATGGATATTGATGTATAACAAAGAGCTTAATAATTGCGCCTGTATTTATATAGGCACATATTTGAAATTGTTAAACTTATTACTAATAAATTTTCCAATATAGTTTCATCGATTAAGCTCTGATGAGAAGTTAAAGTTTAGTTACAAAACAACCTGCTAGTTCACACAAAATACATTCAGTGTTAGAGAGTGCTCAGACTTACTGGCAATACTCAGTTAAGCTTACACTTCCGATTTCATCAATTTATGCAATATCAATATCAATATCAATACGAAGATGACAGCAATAGACCTATATAAGCGCTACTAAATTATGGCAAAAGATGATTTTTTTGGTAGACAAATGTACCTCTGTTTACCTCTATGGGTATATAGCCATTGTATATGTATTATAGAAACCGAGGATCGATATAAGTGGCGTACAATTAGAGAGACCTAATATCCTTCAGTGGACTGCGATAGGCTGATGTCAATGTTGCGTATGTATGTTACATCTTCTTCAACTTGTTGTCCAAAATTTAAAAACTACAGAAGAGAAAGTAATTTATTATCAATACATTTAATAAATAATATTTAATTAAATATTTTCATTTTTTTAATTTACTTACCACGAGTATGTTTCATTGAAAATTAATAATAAAAGTTATCTTATTTTTTCAACTATAACACACTTAAACAAGTTTGGTCGTAATAAATATCTTTATTATCTATATTTTTAATTACCTATGTATATTGTACTAGATGTAACTGAGAGGTAACACCATAATATTGGTCAGTCAGTTCTCGTGAGTTAGTAAACCGTATTTATTTCTATGCGAAAATAAACTAAACTTAACATAAATACCTATACCTATATCTATTGCACATATACTTTATCTAATGTTCGAGTATAGTATACTAAAACACGACATGTTTAACAAAAAACGTCTATGTGGATAGACGTTTTTAACCGACTTCAAAAAAAGGAGGAGGTTCTCAATTCGACTGTATTTTTTTTTTTTTTTTTTGTATATTTGTTACGCGATTACTCCGGCAATTATAAACCGATTTGAATAATTCTTTCTTTATTTGGTAGGTCATACGTCAGAGGTGGTCCCATTGTCACCAGGTCAGGATCTGATGATGGGATCCTGGGGAAATCGAGGGAAACCCTCAAATTTTGTAGGCATATACACTGTTTATCAGAAATTATCTTAATCTATGTAGATTTTTGCATCTAATGGTCACCATCTGATGTTGCTGAGCTGATGATGAAGCTGATGATGAATGGTTTAGGAGTATGGGATCTCTGTAACAAAATTATGTAATACCATCGAATTTGAATGTGTTTGAGTCTAATTAATAAGGACTCCGATCCTATGTGATATTCAGGGTCTGATGATGGAGACGGTAAATAGCCATGGAAACTCTGTAATAAAATAAAGCAATTCCGCCGTGTTTGTGCTCATTTGATTCGTCTCGACTAGGAGCTTCATGCTAGTCGATTTTTAACCAACATCAAAAAAGGAGGGTTTTTGATTCGACAGTATGTTTTCTTTTTAACCGACTTCCAAAACACAAAAGAGGAGGTTCTCAATTCGTCTGTATTTTTTTTTTTTTTTTTATGTATGTTTGTTACGCGATTGCTTCGTCAATTGTGGACCGATTTTCAAAATTCTTTTTGTAATCGAAAGGGTATGCTCCCGAATTGGTCCCATTACCACCAATTCAGGATCTGATAATGGGATCCTAGAGAAATCGAGTGAAACCCTCACAATTATTGGGAATTTGACAGCCCGGACAACGTGTTTTAGCTACGAGTATTTCTTTAGCCAAACAAACCATGGCAACTGTCAGAGACTGCGCGATGTGATGCGCAGAGAACTTGCAGTATTTATGTCACCACAGTAATTTTCGTTGTATTAAGAAGAAAAGGTTGAAATTTTGTATTCTATCTTGTTAAAATAATTCGGATAGACGTTTAGTTGCTATGGATGGCATCGCATTTCGTTTGTAAGTAATTTTATACTTAATTTATTAAAATAGTTCTAAAAAAAACTCTTAAATTTTGGGTGGGTCAACTAGGTTAATTTCTAACATACTAGTATTAACCCTTCTAGTTGGAACTCCTTCTATAAAATATTGAGCATATTTGTTGAGTAGTCTCACTAAAGCTTCCCTATCTTCACCTTCGAGATCAGTGTCAATTGAATCGGAAGTTATTTTGTTCGGTTGCAACTCACAAGAATTTGACTGTTTCTTGGAAAAGAATTTAAGCTGATCTTGATCAGTTTGGACGCCAATGTCATTTTCATATCCTACACTAAAAATGGTAAAATAAACCCTTTTTAAAAAAAAAGTTGAACCGACTTCAAAAAACACCGACAAAGAGCACTAAAAATTAAAAAATAATTACAAATCTAAGTAAAAAACTATAATAAGTACCCTCAATGTAACAGGTAACATTATAATACCAATAGTCCCTTCTAGTCTGTTTGAAGTCGGTGCCAAGCTCGATGTACAATAAGTAATACTGGTCTATGTCAGCTTTATATTATCACAATGAAAAATTAAGAATTCAAAATAATTCGAATGAAACATCGAAGATTTTGTTAATTAATAAAGACCAACCAGATCAATTACGTGCGCAAACTTATCAACTACTTATTAAAGAATTCAAAATAATAATATAATTGGAGATGTGCGTCCACTTTAGCTCGTTCATCATGTTTTGCGCAGCATGAAGACTGTTGCAGCTGCCGCGCTACATTCTACCATGCCTATCAAGCACCTATTTGGCTTGGCACCGACTTCAAACAGACTAGAAGGGACTATTGGTATTATAATGTTACCTGTTACATTGAGGGTACTTATTATAGTTTTTTACTTAGATTTGTAATTATTTTTTAATTTTTAGTGCTCTTTGTCGGTGTTTTTTGAAGTCGGTTCAACTTTTTTTTTAAAAAGGGTTTTTGGTTAGGTAGGGACGTGTAGGTAAGATAAATTGCTAGTTAAACCCTATGTCACCATTAGCTCCTTGGCTGAATACTGGCTAGCAATAAAAATACACATTATTATGTAACTAACTTATAATGAATGTTATATTCTTTATTCGATTATCCTTGAGTACCTAAACTCCACGTAACAAATTGTTATCGATTTTATAAGCTACTGTAATTTAAATTTAAAATTCGATTTAATTTGTATTATTATAAAACTTAGTTAAGTTAGCTAAGAATTATACATATTTAATATATATTATTGTACATATAAAAGTCCCCGAACATTAATAAATTAAAAATCCATATGAAAATAAACGTCTGGTAAAATTGGACACATTAATAATCCCGATTAAAGAATTTTGCATAGGGACCTTTTCGCCTTGTTGTGGAAGGGTCGACACAAGGCAAGCATAATGAATTAAATTAGGTTCTACTGATAACCTCTCCACACAATTTCGGACGTACGGACTTCAGGCCTTGGGACTGGGGGACAAAACACGGATATATTGATATTGAATGAGACCCAAAACATTATATCTTTTATTATGGGACACTTTATAAAGTTCCTGTGCAGGGAATACTCAAAGGCCGGCAATGTACTTGTGATTCTTGAACAACAATAGTCCATAGGCGGTAGTCACTTAACATTATATGACCCGTCTCCTCCATTGCCACCTATACTCTAAGATAATTAAAATTTCTTACATTACTACCACACGTGCAAAACCCGATACCAATACCAAAAAAATCTTACAAGGAAAAGTGTCATTTGAAAAACTGCCCACACGATTGAATGAATTTAAAGTATATTCAAACATGTTCCGAGCTAGATTTCTATTGTATAAAAATGCTAGCGTAACTTTTCTAGATAAGTACAAAGGAATGGTAGGTCTTTGTTTTGGGGACAAAACCTTGCTAATGTCAAGTGGCTCGAGTATAAAGCCAAGAGTTATGTATAAAACGCCTGCTCTGTGATTTATTTCATTTCAGATTCGACCGACATACATACATACGTACGTATGACCACATATATTTTAACGAACGGTATTCGACCAGTACCTATTTAACATTTCAATTCAAGAGAACTGAATTTCAATTTAAACTTTTTTTTTGTTACAGGACGCTAGAACTTTTAGAAGTCTTGAGTCGTCAGTATGCTGCTAATACATTATTTTAGGACACTCATACAAGATTATGTCACCTTTAATATTACTTGTAATATTATTATGAGAACCTATGTTTACAAGCAAAATAAATATTTTACTTTCAACTAGCTGCAATGTTATTGTGACTTTCTCAATAAATGGCACTGTTTCAATATTGTGTAATTTTGTATTATTTTGTGTATTGATGTGTAAGTAAGTGATTTTATATCCCTTATATATATATATATATATATATATATATATATGAAAGCTTGCGTGTACTATTCGATCTCAAGCATTAACTTGATATTTTGTACACATAACAACACCTGTGTCAATAAAACCGATGACTGGTGGTCTTCCGGTGTCTAAATTAGAGAAAAAAGGCAAGTTGTACTTTGTGACATATCCAATTAAGAAGCGTATTCTGATGTTATCAAATATTTTATTTCTATAATATTATTGTTTATTTTGAAGTAGTTTAAAATTTCTTTTTAAAATAGATGAAAATTGACTCTTCCCTTAGCCGCTGCAACTAGTTCAAAATAAAAAAAATAACTTTATTAATAGATTAGAGAAAAAACCGATGAAGACACATGACAAAAGCATACCTGATAAATGATATTTATTTCTGTAAGTAAATCTTTTAAGATATTTTGACAAATAAGACTTTACAGCTAGATGGAGCCGGCATTTCCTAAGACTCACTCTGGGAAGAAACGCTGCAACAAACCACAGAGACATCCTCTTTGTCCGTAAACAATGTCAAAGAAAACTGTGCGAGTACAGTGTAGGGTCTGGATAGGCCTTTTGAAGAAAGGACCATAGTTTTGAATCGGCCTGACAATACAGACGGCATACGAGCCTCAGCCATCGTGTAGCTTAACCGATATTAGTCAAGATCAACTACCCGAAGCGCGACACTACCGCCAGCAAGACATTTGAGTAAGCCGCGGAAACACTTAAAACCACCAGAAAGTTATTAAATATGAACGAACATTACAAACCTACACTATATTCATATTTAAATACTGACACAAAAAAAACTGAACTCAACAATTCAAGTTCAACCTGAACTATTCTATTTTCCCTCTATTCCATAACTACATACTTTAGTCTGACATGCTAAACACGATAATGTATACCGAATGTAGTAATGTACTTGATGTAATCAAGTTTGTGTCCGCCACAACCACTTCATTCAGCACGCAACAGCAATTATTTTGTGTGTGTGGTAAGATTGTTTTCTGTAAGTATATATATACGAGTATATTAAAAAATATCATGTTTTTATTTAAATGTATTTCAAAATGTAATTTAGACGCATCCTTCAGTTGATCAAAAAGAATAATAATAAATAACTCGAGACATCTCACACATGATGATCTGATCTCAAATTACCAATAACCAGACTGTTGATGAACATACTTAACCGCTAGTATGCCCATGTAGACTAGTGGTCTACAAAAACGAAATCCTAAAGTGCCCGTGTAGACTAGCAGTCTACAAAAATAAAAACGGAAAGTGCCCGTGTAGACTAGTAGTCTACAAAAATAAAACCGTAAAGTGCCCGTGTAGACCGGTAGTCTACATGGCTCCTGCCACAGATTAATTAGTATTTGACAGTAATTGTATTGACATAATGCTCTTTAGTAATATTTTTTCTATAGTCTGATATATTATCTATGGTATTAATCTCAGTCGAGCATGCAAACACTAGTAAAAAAAAGAATTATACGTCATAAAACTTCTGTCATTTCATCAGTCTTCGAATCGTTCCGTGCAGTGACTGTGTTGGAATTTCTTTGTGATATTATTTTGTGTGTTGGTGAAATTTAAAGTTTTAAATGTATTATAAGGCAATGTTAATGTTATTTTTGTTTTGTTTAGCATGTAGAACAAAAAACATCTGGAAAACTAAGTTATGTTACTGAGAGCATGGGAACTGTTTCAGAAATGTTCATATTATTCAAAAGTGGTGTATGTTATCCCTATTGTTTTTGATTGTAATAAAAGAATATAAGACTACTTATATAGTTATACCTTATTTATATTCCTAACAATGATATTTGTGTACGATATGCCTTTTTAAGTCTTACATAAATTATGCCGCGTGGCGGCCGATAATGGTAAGGATTTAGAGGCCTGTAAATAAATAAATATGTATGGGAGAGTATATGGTTTTATTTCATAACATATTAACTACTATCTAAACAACATAATTAAACATTAAAAACCATAGGTCATCGCTTTCATTTTTGAACTATGAGCTTCGAAGTGCAACACGAGCTTAAAAAGACGTTATCTCAATTTCAACACAGTGTAACTCAACACCAGAGCCGTAATCTGTAAATAGAAAGATAACATTGTTTAGCTAATTTCATAGGCAACTAAATAAATATAACACTTGACACCCTTTCAATACAAACTTTAGTCACAAGAACCGATTAAGTGGAACACGGCGCGCGCGTCGATAACGCAAAAAACAGTGGGGCACTTTACGGGTGGTCGGTATTTGTGCCGGGGCAATCTAGACGGTCTCGCTCGCGAGTCGCGGGCACTCTGGACGCCGCGGGCGCCATGACAGGGGCATACGAGCGGTTAATTATTTCTAAATACATACTTATTGTAGATAAATTGCACACGAACTAAAAGATCGTGCTCATGCTCGTGTTCATCGCGGAAAAGAACTCTGGCTTAGAAGTCAAGACCACTAACCACCAGGTCAAGAAGACCGTCGCACCTCGTAGAAGCTGAAGTTAAAATGCTAAAATCTTAATTTGTTTTCCGGTGCTGGTTGGTTTTGGCATTAAACGAGTAAAATAGGGACGTTCTTATAAACTTTTTTTCCTTAATGATTTACTGAGCTTATTCAGATAACGGATATCAAGAGTTTATAAATAATTTTATGTTAAATAATATTACGTAATATTAATTTACTTAAGGTTAAGTTTAAAACCAAACACCTACCAAGGTATAAAAAAAGAATAGTCTTCTCTATGTACAAACAGAATGTAGGATGTTCAGAAATACTTACATTATACTATAGATATTTGCATCAAATATAGAGAAGCCTAGTTCTGTAAAAAAAGCCATCATCATCTTCATCATCTCCTTACCCATCTAATAAATGCGCTAATCAGAAAATCCTATTATTTACGTAGAATACTAAGTTAGCTTACTTCCCTTTCGTGTTGTAATATATTCAATTTTAGCTACTTTTTACTACACGACTTTTCATTATATTATTTGAGTCAAGTGTCATGAAACAAATTTTGAAGTTCATTTGGTACTAAGTTGATTTAATCCAACAATTAGCGTTAAAATTCAGATGAATAAAAAAAATACTTCTTTTAAAACTACCTAAAAGATCTATACTTGTATATTGTATTGTGTTCGTTTTAGAGTACTTACAAAACGTTGTTCTGTCAGGTTAACGTCAAAATTGAAGTTGTCAAATGCATATTTGTCAACACAGTGAACGCTGTCGGTTTGGATTTGGTGTTTCGCAATTATATTTTCACTTCATGAATTTATTTTTGCAATACATATCAGTAAAAGCTTAGTGAAAATTTAACCGAAATGTTAAGTAATTGTTAACAAAAAGATTCAAATTGTTGAAGTGTTCAATAGTTAAGACATTTACGGTAAGTTTGTAATTATTTTTCCGATCGTAACAGAATGCATTCCGATTTCATTTCTTACACATTGGTAAATGAAAAAATGTTACTCAAGGGCTAATAAAAGGTACATTTGTAGGATTCGATACTTTAATTTTGATATCTTGAGTGTTTATTCTTTTTTAATGTTTCGCTAACATTCTTATTGCTAATTTAAAAAATATGTTACTGTTAAGTTATTATCATGTGATTCTCAAATTTAAACAAAAGTATAGCAGTTATAGTTTTGATATCATTAGTGTAATGGTGAAATTTATGGTTTTTAAATGTTCCTTAATATTTTGCTTACTGTACCATATGTAAGAATATTTATTTGCATTAGGATACCTCCAGTTAAAAAATCACTTAATAACGTATATCCGCGTTTTAAAATTCTTACACAAGCTGCTTAACTTAGCTTTACCTAGTGCTGTACAATCTATTATGAAGGCAGAATATTATTTACAATTCACACACACTCACAAAAACACACTCATGATAGGTATATACCTTTGAAGTATATATATTTTGCTTAAATTTTTAACACTGGATGGAGTAGTGGTTTGTGTAACGGACTGCTATTCCAAAGGTTGCAGGTACGATTCCCGCTCACGTCAAACATATGTATGCATGAACATTTAATGTATGATTTGGTCTGGGTGTTTCTATGCATAATAATAATAATATTTTCACACATCTAAAAAAAAATTGTATAAAACATATATTTACAAAAATGTATATTTGTATTTATGTCTGTTGTCTACTAGCCATAGTACAAGCTCTGTTTAGTTTTTTAGACCAGGTTGCAATGACGGTGGTCACAGGATGGCCGTAATACATTATTCTACATTGTAGAACACAATAGTTTAAAAGACAGAATATAATTTTATTTTTAAATTTGAAAAAAATTTAGTCTCTAAATAAAAGCAAATATTATTTAAAATTGTGTGAATTCATTTACAAAATGTAATATGTTCAGCTTAGTTTTACTTTTTTGTATGCATTATGTGATGTCACAGCCATTCATATGCTTGATTTTAGGGGTGGTTTAAAGCTTTAGAAGCGCAATGTAAAAGATATTGTATGTTAATATAAATTGCATGGTATCATGTATTTTTGGCGATATACAAACTCACACATAGCTTGCAAGCTTTATGCAGGAGGTTCTCTGTATATCTGTAAATAATCCTCAAGTATCCCTTAGGCTAATGTATAACTGTATCACACATAAAAAATAATCAGCTTAGTTACAATGCAATAATACTTTATTATCCGAAAATACGAAACCTAACACTATGCAATTCAATGGCTGGAATATACACT